TAGGGGGATTCTGGCATAGCTGATCATCCAGCTGATCGTTGGGCGGAGAAAAAAAAGAAATACCTTAAGGAGTGACTGGGCGGGGAAGAATGCAGTCAATGATGTCAGGCATGCTGACTGGGCTGTTCTGAACCAAACCTGGTTCCAAGAGAGCAAACACAAGACAAAGGCAGCAGCACAACCTTTTAATGTTTCAGCTAAGAATTCTGTTTCTTCACAGATAAAAGGCTGCTTCCAACTAATTAGTTCCGACAAGAAAGAACCTTTCCAAGTTTTTGCAAGTCAGCCAAAACACAACAGATAAGAAATAGCTTACAATACAAGGGTCTTCAAATACCAACTCCACAAGGCTGAGTTTAAAACGACTTTGCCTTCTGCAAAGTACATTTGTTCACAGCTGGCTTTTATCTTCTTGGAGGAGGGGCTATTACCTTGCAGCCTTACTCCCGAGTCGCCCGTGCTGCTGTAACTGCTCTTTCCTACAATCAATCCTGCACACACGCGCACTTGGCACAGGCTCCTCAGGAACCTCCTCATCGCTGCTGCCAGCCCCCACAATCTCTGAAGGTAGCAGTCCACTCCCTGATGGTCCTGGCCCCTCATCTGAGTCCTCGCTCACCTGCTGCCGGTTAATCACAACACTGGGCAGGGAGGGGAGGGGCAAGTGGAGAGTGGTGGGGCCAGCCAGGGGCACGATGTGCCGGTCCTCCGAACTGCACAGAATCATAACAACCGGTTCTATAGAACTGGTCCAAACCAGTAGAATCCCACCCCTGAAGGCATCTGGGGAGAAGTCAAAAAAGTTGAGATGTCAATTGCAATACAATTGGGCATGGCATCAGTGTTGTGCAGGAATAACAAGATAACAGAGTTAGAGGAGACCTCAAAGGTCTTCTGGTCCAATTCCCTTCTCAAGCAGAAAACCTTATACCCTTTCAGACAAATCTCTTCTTAAAAATTTCCAGTATTGGAACATTCACAACTTCTGGAGGAAAATCATTCTAATTGTTCTCACTGTCAAGAAATTTCTCCTTAGTTCTAAGTTGGTTTTCCCCTTGATTAGTTTTCATCCATTGCTTCTTGTTTTGAGTTGTGCGATTTGGACCATCTTGACTTTTTAAACTTCCCCATGAACACAGTTGATGGGAGGACCTGAGGTTTTGTTTATTGACATTAAATGTTATTTCCTTGTTTGACTTTATTGCTTTATCGCAAGGGCCTTCAAACTTGGCAAGTTTAAGACTTGTGGACTTC